CACGCACACACACACACTCTCTCTCTCTCTCTCTTTCCCTCTCTCTTTCTCCAATACATGCACACACATACACACATACACACAAACACACACACACACACACACACACACACACACACACACACACACACACACCAGACAGAATCATCTTACCTCGGCCTATTTACGTGTCAACAACATCAACATCCCATGAGGTTTAATTGTCAGGCTAGCGTTACTTTCACCATTTCAGGTTACAGCAGTCTCACTGTCGGTAGTGAAAGTGTAATAGTCTATGTCTTTTGTAGCTTATAATTTAAAAAATATAATATAATTATAATATAATATAAATTATAATTTTAAAAACCAACAACTGAACAATCAAATTCACTTTTTTTTTGTAGTGCAGCGTGTTTTAATTTTTTAAATTTTTTTTTTGTGGAAAAAATAACAATCACTTTTTAAAATGTAGAATTACCCGCCTTATGTGAAAGTACACACGCATCGACGATTGTGGTGAAAGGATTACTCTTTCGATCTTGCACGTAGAAAGCATGTTTGTTTTTTTGTTTCCATACTAAGGATTATATTATTTCCACAAGTGTGTTCAACGTTCTGCTGGATAGCACATATTATGAACGGGTTGGCTCACACAGACTAGGTCTAATAAAGCGGCCCGCGCCTTCTTATGTGGTCTAAATCGTGTCAGTGGTGGCGTAAAACGGTTACGAGCTACACCGAAGTGTTTTGAAATAATATATTATGTACTCATATTCTTTTAGGTTGATTTCCTGCAAACCGTGTTTTCTGGATATGGAAATCGTTATAGCGTTTGTTCGAGATGATTTTGAATATTCATTGCCTGTCTCATTCGTTTTACACTTATATATTTACCTAAGGTGTGCATCTTTTCTGGGTTTGTTGTTGCCGTTGTTGTTGTTGTTGTTGTTGTTGTATTTGTTGTTGTTGTTGTTGTTGTTGTTGTTGTTGTTGTTGTTGTTGTTTTCTTCAATATTTAGAATGTAAATCTTGACATAATGTCGAGCCGCCTTCTTTCATTGCTTATGTGTCTGGCGAGACGGCGTTGGCCCTGACAGGCAGGGTTGAAGCCTGACTCCTAAATGGTCGAAATTGTGTCTATGGGGGCGTAAAACACAACCTACGTTTTATTTTATTTATTCATGACTATTATCTAACTCAAGCCCTCATGGCGTTTTGTCAAAATCTGTTCCCCTCTCACCTTTTGCAGAATGGGCCCCTTTCAGCGGTAGACTCTTTCAGATCTTTGTAGTATCCCCTGGTTTTTGTTGGTTCTTTCCATAGACTTGAATTATAAAACACCCTAGATCGGGCACTGTCATGGCGGCCTTTATTGAACTGTGTAAGGACTTGGCTGCGCAGGTGCGCACTATAAACTCGCTGAATGAAGTGCAAAACACCAGTCTGGTTAACTCTTTGCCACCACAACGCTCATATAGATCTAGTTTTAAAAAAACCTTGCTATCAAATGCAACGGCATTTTGGGGAAAATCCGAAGAAAGTGGGTGGTAAACACCGCCGATCGGCGAGATATGACGGCAATCTTTATCTCTTTGCCCTTCATTTGATTCCAAAAAGAGTTTAATGGCGTGTTCCAGGGTGAACCGGAATTTCCTCAGAGTGCACGGTCTCGGATGTTATAATACAAGTCTATGGTTCTTTCTTAGACCTAGATGACGTCACTAGGAAGGTGGAGGGTGTCTCTGGCAGGTCCCGTTTATTGTCAATACGTGTATGCACATATATTTTTTGGTTTTTTGAGTTGGATAGATATAAGAAAACTATCAAACAAACTGACTGATGTTGTCTGTGTTCGTGTGGAAGGTTGGAGACTTGAAAGACTTTTTGATGTAAAGTTGTCCCAGTGGGTAGTTGGCGGGCGCTCTGGTGTGGTTTCTCCTCTTCTTTTCCCTGTATGTTATTTTCTTGTGATACGTCTAATCTTCGGCACGTATATGACCTATTTGTTTTGCAAGTGATGTAAAACTCTTGATTTAAAATAAACTGTAGCTTTCTCTCAGCACCGATTAAAACCGACTATAAAATCGATGTGTGTCTTTTTTTTTTAAAACATCACCGATGGACTGTGAAATATAACCTATTAATGTTGATAGGGGCGTTAAATCTATATCATTTCACCATATTCACAGACAAATTTTTAAAATAAACTAATAGTGTTGAAAGGGACGTTAAACCTACACCATTTCACCATAATTCACAGACAAATTTTTAAAATAAACTAATAGTGTTGATAGGGGTGTTAAACCTACTCCATTTCACCATTTTCACAAACAACATTAACATTTTCACAGCAAACAAATTGTTTAAAATGTCCCGTACTGCCTCCCTTGTTCTGCT